ACTACATAGCTGCACTGCATTATTATTGTTATTACTATTGTTGTTGTTGTTGTTGTTGTTGTTGTTGTTAATATATTATAATGGGTCACCGATATACTTATTACAACTGTCACACAAGTACACAATGCGGTGAGATAAAAACAGGACGTGTGGAACACCGCAAGAGATACACATTGTCTGAGAATCGAATACGACCGACAGTGGTGGCGGAAAAAAATAATAATTGTTTTTATCTCCATATCGAGGACATTGGTATAAATTATACGATAATGTATTAATGTAATTTATATATACATTATACTTTCCAGTTATTAAAATATTATAACATGACAACTTTTCGTAAACGCTTCGATTTTATATGTAATATATACCTAAACATATTGTATTTGTTGTTGCTATAAGTACTTTTATAGTTTTATTAACATGATCGATATTATTGCTGACTGTTTATTAATAATGTACCAACCAAAAAATTCTAAGCTTTAAAAATCGTTGATGTAATAGTGTAGTTTGGGGGTGCTCTATAGGCAGCTCTAGCACACCCAGCTGGTTTGCTTCAAAATGGTATTTTTCTTTTCTTATTATGATCATATTGTTCATTATTTTAACGATTATATGTATACTTTAAATAGTACTTACATATTACCAGGTACACTATAAAAATCCATACCTACTACTAATTAAATGTAAATGATTAACAACTTTGTAATTAGGTAGGTACATAATATTATACAATATTATTTTTAAATATAAAAAAACAATCTGTATATATATAGGTATCCAACTAAGGATTTTCTTATAAAATGATAAAAACATCATTTTTGGAAAGTAATGGATTACGTTGAATAATTAAAAAAAAATTGTACCTACCAACCTTATATCCAGGGCCGGACTGGAAGGGTTTTGGCCCACTATTTTCTGTAAACAACCGGCCCATTTTCCTACATTTATCGGCCCAACTTAAACTAACAACAATTTTTTTTTTCTCAATGGTATAGTAGTACAAGAATTATGATTTAGGAACTTTTTTATGTTGGTTAGAAAGAAAATGTAAAATATATCAATATACATATGGGTATAAATCAGTTACACTAAGTACCAGTATGACAAATTAATCAATTAAATCTTATAAATTATATATTTATGTAATTATGTGTACGATAATAATTTGGATAAAGTATGATAGGTAATTTGAATTTGTAATAATGTCCAAAACTCCAAAATATCTTCAAACTCTAAATCATTCAATATATCTTTTTCTACAGACATTAATAAAAAAGCATCAAAGCGGTCATCTAATGAAGCACGTAGACGATTTTTGATAATTTTTAATTTGCTAATTACTCGTTCACAATTAACCTGAGATACCGATAAGGTTAGTACATATTCCATGGTGGCATATAAATTAGAATAAGTAGGCAAATGTAAATTAACCAAATGAAGTAAATTAAAAACACTAATTACACAATTCTCTAAGGCATATATAGCTTTTACATCATGGATAGAACTAATAGTGTTCATATTCAGATCCTTAAAAAAAATTTTTTTCATATAAGAATTCTTAACAAAAATATTATAATACCAATAGGGTAAACTTGAATAAATACTATAGCAGTAACTATAGCAAATACTTCAAAAATATCTATAATAATAATAGGGTAATATTTGGACAATAATATTTTTATACATTGAAAACGCAAGTGACCGAAAACAATGTTTATGTTTTTTGGTACTCGAGAACTTCCTTTAGAATATTTTTGTATTGGGAATAGTGTAATGTTGGGTAATTTTTATTTACAGTCTTTTAATTAGTTTTAAATGAAAATAATATAGCAAATTATAATAAATCTTCAATTATTATATCTTCAAAAAATAAAAATATATATATATATAAATATTTTATGTATTGATTTACGTTACAAGACCTATTGCCCAAATTAAAAATCAAGTATAAAAAAAAAATAATATTGTTAGACCAGAAAAATAAAATAAATATCTTTCTTACAAATTCAGAAAAATTACGAATATAATAAAAATTGATCGCATTTCAAAGGTCATAACTTTGGTTAAAAACATTTTTATAGACCTCAGAACCTATGTTTCAATTCAGTAGTTTACAGGGATGAAAAAAAATGTGAGTTTTCTAAATTTTAAAATAGTCAATTAAGACCGCCTAACGTTCACTATCAGACCACTGAGGGCTGTCATCTCAGTGTTTATTTTTTAATATTTCCACCATATTTTTGTGATAATACTTCCAACTGCCGAACACTCAGTAAATTTGCACTGATTCGTGTCATTGACATAAAACATTTTAATTACATATCTTAAATTGAACACAATACTAATATATTATGTGGTGCTACCTACTAAGTTCAACTAGTAAATGGTCTGTAAGTATAATAAGATTGATTTTAATATTTATGCATTTTATTTTGACATAACCGTAGATTGCGGCCTACTGTGCTGTAGAATAGTAGAACAGTGGCCCAGTCCGGCCCTGCTTATATCTATAGATTATAGATCATCCCGGGTCTTAGGAAAACATCTGTTGCATGTAAAAGTAAAATATACTCAGTAGGTAGTTTCAAAAGAGTCAGGAAAAAAAATAAGACAAAATGGGGATTGTTACCTACTCAAAACCAATTTTTGACAAAATGGATTAATTTTGTTTGGTTTAAGTCAAAAGCAAATAACAGTAGTCCGTAGACACTTATAAATATTTCCAAATGTTTATATTGGGATTTTCCATAAATGATACAATTTTCAAAATATTTGAACTCTTGTTGAGCTGTTTATGGCCATTACTCATTACAAACTATAGATTTTTTTTTCAAATATTGTTGATAAATAACTGCTTGATCAAAAAAACTTTAAAATGGGAATTTAAGGTTCCGCATAACATATATATTAAGTTGTTAATTTGTCTAATTTAAAATACGATTTGAGCTTAAATCAGTTAAATTCACTATAATTTTTTATGATTGTCAAAAGTGAAAATTCTTCAAAAATTCACAAAGATTTAAAAATTATTTTTCAGTTAAATATTTATAAAAAATTGTTCTTTTTATAGCTTACATTTGAAATCCACTCTAATTTATTAAATGCCCACCTTTTATATAAGTACCATTTAGCCTTACGAAGTTCACGATTTTCGGTATTTTACTCACACGCACAACGCTTAGAGTCTACCGCGCTTATAACGAATTTTTAATTTTAAAATGTCGAGGGCTGTTTTCGATTTGAATTGTCCGAGCTAGCGAAGCAAGCGAATGACCATACCGGCTGTATACCAAAAATTTCAACTAGCTAAAACTTTAAAATAAGTCTGACCGCGAAATTCAAACTTCCAAGCATGTCATTCAACGAAAAAACAAAATCGATATCATCAAACACCTATTCTGCGTAAAAATGCACGTTTCCTTATGTTTTTTTTTGTTTTTGCTGATTATTATTTATTTTGAAACGTACTTTGTACTTTTTACTTTTGATAGCCTAAAGTACCACCGAGTTCAATTTTTCTACCACCCTAAAAGTTTAAAATTTTGAATGCTTAAAAAAGGTGATGATATACTTAAATATACAGTATGTAGATTCTGCCTAATGTGAGCACTGGTTTAAATGGACGTTCGTGTAATATGACTAGAATATGGCTAGACGAATTTCGCGTTATATATGGCCAACCGCGTAATCTGCGCATATGAATTTGGTCCCAACGTGTCCACATTAAGCGGAGTCCACTGTATATACATGGTTTAGATATTTCAAGGGTGAAAAGAAAACCAATATTTTATTTACGTTTAAATAAACTTTATTTTTCAAAAGTACAATCATAATAGGTATAATAAGTATCGTTAAGTATTTTACTTGAACATTTTTTGTGGGAGAGAAAAGGTGAAAGTGGTACAGGCGTACAGCTAACTTAGGTTTGTTTTTTCAAATTTGTGTCCGTCGACGAACTAACGTCAAATCCAAAACCTGATATGGTTATATTGATCGTGGTTATCAGGAAAACCATGATGACGGAAACGTCGTTTAAAATCAAACACTTTCTTTGATCTTTTTCTTTCTTAATGTCCAGCCCTCCAACAACCAAGAATATCCCACCAACGAGCACCTATATTGTATAGAACAGAACACATAGTTTACCAGTATATTATATAATTTATATAATTATATCTATATCTGCAGCAGGTAATATCACAATAACTCTACCAAACTATTTAGAACGTAGATATGTGTACAAGTAAACCGAAAGTTTTTTTCGGCCAAAAATAAAAGATGGACTCCATAAATATTTACTAGGAATATGATGTTAAAATATTAGTATTGTCATTTGTCATAGAATGATACGATTCTGGATTATTATTTCACTGTTTTAGACTTTCTTTAAAATAAAAAGCTAAAACTGTTTCGAAAAATAATTCAAAATATATTATGTTATATTAGGTATAATAATGTACCATTTCTTGTTATGTAATTATTTTCATTCCTCAATATATTGATAAATAATATCTAACCTAACCTATAGGTTTCTATTCTAAACAATAATTTTCATACAAAATTACGTTACTAATTAAACATTTCTCGATTTATATGTTCCCAAATAATAATAATATAATAATCATTAAAGTAGGTACCTGATGTATTGTAATTTGTATTTATGAAGTATTTTTCGAAATATAACTACCCGTCGTCGGTCGACACATAAACCCATTGACCCACCCAATATAATAATGGTCTAGTCGGTACATAGAGTAATATTTCTCTATGAGTCGGTACCACGGTCACCATTTCTTACAATTTTATTTTGTATAACTAGGTATATAGGCTATAAACCGTCGAGTTGTGATGAACTTGGGGATACATATTTAATTAAATCAAATTTATGTCGTCTAATAGCTAGATACATGTGTAGTATTATAATAGTGTATTGTATATTGTTTCTCAATTTGTATTTTTTTGTAATGGTAGTTATATATACATAATATATTAATATGTCAATTTGACCCGATGGGCGGGATGGACGGCGCGTTGAACGTTGATGTCGGTACGATGCTGGCTAGCCCGGAATCGAAAGCTCCTATTATTATGTTGATCGTGAACACCATAAACGTGCACACGACCGGAACTTGGTTGATGAACAGCGACGACGTCTTGTACTCGATCAAATGGAAACGACAGTCCCGAAGCAGGTTTAGTGATAGAAATATCATTCCCATGAACACCTATAGGACGCGTAGTATTTCAACAGCAATAATGTCAGAATTGGTCAAATCGATGTAATATAATATAACATATAATACTCTACACAAGCTACTTATAATTTATTTTCGATCGTAAGATATTTTCTCTTAAAAATTATAGGTTATTTGTTTTTGCAAGTCAAAGAATTTAAAATCGTTACTAGCATATTTCTAGTTTTCTACTAAATGTTATGCCAGGTCTAACGAGGGACCATAATAATGTCTATAATATATATGTATTTTGTAATGTAATGTGTATACATAATAATATTTCATGTATATATTAGGACATTAGGTATATAGTATATATAGGTGCGCCCACTCACTTGTAAAAATATAGACGTAGCTATCAGTACCAACAGAGGCTTGTAGAACTCGTGCTTCTCGCCCACTTGGAGGATGTATTTCAGTTGGTTCGCGTTGGCCGTCAATAAGGCGATGTCCAACATCCCCTGAGCAATGGTTTTTTTGGTTGCATACCTGTTGACGTCTAACGGCTTGGCCTTAAAAAGAAAAGGAAATTCATAAAGTTTTATAACTTTTTCTGTACCTAGTGATATATACCTACAATATATTATATTATAATGGTTCAAGATGTAATATTTTGGTCTCCTAAATCTCTCTGCAAAAACGATATGGCTTATCAAAATATATTTTATCCCCCTCCTCATGGACTTCTAACTGACAAATATTATTATCAACTATACTTATGAAAATGTAAGCATTTGCAATAAAGGTTTTTTGTTGAGAACAATTTATTAATTATTTTTTGTTCAATGTTTTCTATAATAATATTGTCTGATCGACGCAGGAGAGAAATCACTAAAATAGTATAATGATGTATTAGGTACATTATAACATCTTCAAATTGTTTGTATAGTATAGCGTTTCTTAAACTGCCCCAGGGTTCCGCGAAACTTTCATTAAAATTAAAATTTAGAAGTCCTGTTTGTTTGTCACTTAAAATATTTTTGAACTAAATACAGTATACACATAACTGTTATAAGAAACCATAATTATTTTTATTTTAACAAATTTTTTGGATTAAACACAGTAGGTATACACATTTATTATTATTATATTATGAAATTATTATAATTGTTATTGCAAATAATCCTGACATAAAATTACCCATTAAAACTATTGAAACAAAATAGGAGTTCTAATTGTCAGGCTGTAATAACTTTTTGTTGAAAGCTAAATATAAAAATCTAAGAAGCTAAAAAAAGTAAGAATTACACGATAAAAGTGGACTTAAAAAGGGTTCCTCGGATAAAAATTTAAGAAACGCTGGTGTAATCTATCATCTAATGTGCATATAGGTACATAAGTTGTAGGTATTAATTTATTTAAATCAACGGTACGTCGGTACCTACCTATTTAATTTGTGTAATTAAAACGTAAAACACAATTAATACGAGTAGTACGGATGTCCCACGTTTAAAAAAATTAGAGTGTGTACATATAAACATTATACGTACCTATATGGCTATACGTATATTTTTAATGGTTTAATTCATGCTTATTAGTTTACTACAATTATAATAACTATAACAAGTATTTAGTATTAGCTGCTATAATATATTGTAATTTGTATGTGTATACGTAGCACGTAGGCATACAACTCAAGGCTTACAATAATATTATAAATAAAAAGCGAGTAAGTGGATGTCGCTCTGCTGTACAGTAGGTTACAAGTGGGTCATTGTATAATGGATTGTATTAAACTTGAATTCAATGATATAATATCATTGTATAAGAAAAACGATTCTGATCGGAGACGGTTCGTCGGTCTGGATATTTTATATTGTTATTATTTATTATAATAGGTATCATGTAAGTTAAATTAATATTATTATTTTTTTTATATATTATTATTATTTTATTATATATATATTTTAATTTATTTGCTTCTATGGTAATAAACAAAGAGTTAGAAATTAAAATACCATTTTTCGTAATTTTCCGTGGTTTTCCCGTGGCATTAAATAACTGTTGATAAAATCAAAAAATGATCTCTCTAAAATACCATCTAGATCCAATTTGCTAAAAGTTGAGATATTATATGTTGAAATCGAAACACTCCTTCTGGTAGAAATTTTGTGTACAGGATATAAAAAAAAATAAACACCATTGTAAAACCACTAGCTTCCTCGCTCCTCTCAGAATCTAAAAATCTGTCTATATTTATAGCTAGTACCTATATATTATAGTACCTATATTTATTATTTATATATGTTTTTTACTATTTGTAGCTAACCTGACCTATTAAAATCAAAAAACAGTTGATTTATATCGACCTTTCCGATTTTATAGTTAAATAATCTGTGCAACTCGTTGGCGCATATTAAATATTGAAGTTTTTGAATTATATATTTTCATTTATAATATTACAATTTAGAAAATAATCAACGTGTAGTATAGGAACTCGTCGAGGTAATCGGTGTATACAAATAAACAATATTAAACCTTTCTCGGGAGAGGAAAGGACAAAAAGGTAGTGAAATATTATTTTTTTTAAGAAACTAATATTAAATTTACGTTAAGTTGCATAATCTGAGAAAATTTGTACGGGTTCCTCCCTATGTGTATGGCCTTAAAGATAATTTTAAATTTTGAGAATTTTGAAGTTTAAAGTACGGTGATACGCATTTTAGGTATACAAAAAATGTGTGTGATGACTATCATAATAGAATAACAGAAGATTACTTAAGAGGCATAGCCCATAATTTTCAGTTAAATGTTTGATTATTTATGTAGATAGTAATTTATTGTAATATTATTTTATTTTTTTTGGACAATATGTAAATGTATTTGCATAAACTAATTTATAATTTTTAATTAAATGAACAATAATTATACTATTATATTATTATTTACTCATTAATAAATTTTACTATATCCACGACGAATTGTAACCGCGGTGAATTATACATGCGGTGAATTGTAAATACGGTGAATAGTCGCAAGGTGAATTATCACGCGGTGAATTATCCGCGATCCCAAATAAACAATATTCTGCGAGTGATTTAGTCAATAAATCAAAAACAAATAATAAAAACGTAAAATGTGCATTACTTACTATATTAACCAATTTACAACATCCGAACAAATTATTTTTAGAGAAGTTGTAAGAACTAAAAAGTATTTTAAAACGTGTGAATTGCAAAATACTGAAAACTGAAAATTTCCAGCATAATAATATTGAACAATGCGTCAAATGTCAATTCAGTTATTTTCAAGATCTGTGATCTGACATAAATGAAAAAATCACACTCAAACACTCATTTTTAATCACTCATGTTTGTAACAGATAGGTATAGTCTTAAGCGGCTACGCCTGTATTAAAGTGCGAAGGAAAATGTGCTATAATAAATAATTGTCTCAAACGAATCGTGAAAAGGTAAAATGTTTGCACATAGGTACTATATTTATGGGATGTCACCAATGGGTGACTTCCCCCTTCCTTAAATCATCCTCATCAAATTTACTCATTGTAATATAATATATTGTAATTACAGATTGTATATAAAATGTTCAATAAAAAAAAATAAATAAAAAAAAGGGTACTATATAGTTGTAGGTAAATTTTGAAAGTCGAATACAAAGTCAAATATCCTCAAATCCTCATATTATCAAAAATATTATTCTCTATAATTTTTGTAATAGTTGATTTTACTCTAAGATAACTCAAAAATCATTTAAAAAACGATTTTAGGTGAAAGCGTTTTATCTATGTTGCGCGTGGGTCTGAGAGAGAAAACAAATATTTTGCTGACATCCTCTTAACTCTTAAGGAATTAGTACCTATACGGCTATACGATTGAAAGAAATAATTATTAATTTAAAATCACTTGTATACGACACAGTCCGCAATATAAGATAAACTATTAAACTATTATTATTTAGTGACTATTATATAAAAATTATAGCGTATTAACGTTAATGTATCTAATGTAAATACTTATTATAAGCAACACAAAAATATAAAATGTGGCTTGGTGTTTGCATTCAGTCACGAAACGTGTTCTGAGTGTACGCACCGGCCGGTGTCACTTGTCCCCGGCTTTTTGGTGACAAATCCTTGCCACACATACCAGTGTCCAAACCAATCGCAACTTTTCCCACAGTAATAGGCTAATGACCTCAGGTGTCAATGTCAAAGCCTTAATTTAAAAAAAAAAATGTATATTTAAAATGTTCTCAGTTGAAACCACTATTTTGTTGTTAAAATAATCATACTTAAGAATGTAAGTAAAAACTAAAAAGCTTTACTTTAATAAACTTTATGCTTTTCTGAAAAGTTTTTAAATGGAATCAGGTTGTTTTCTCGACCCTTCTTTTTCAGTAATTATAAAATCAATATTTATCTAATTCAACTATAGGAATAAGTATAAATAAATATTAAATACTAAAATGTACCTAATAAATTTAATACTCAAAATATAGTTTTGAAAATAAAATAAATATCAACGAAATATTATTATGAATTGTATCGTATTCATATTTTATACAGCAAACTTATATTCCTAAGGCCATCGACTGAAATAAAAAAATCTTTTATTTTCTCGTTCTAGATTAGTTTTCGTTTTTATTGTACATTTGTACCTATACAACATATACTTATATAATGGACTAATAACAATCATTGAAAGTTATACTGCAGGTACGCAATTTCACATACAAAGATATGTCGCTCGATTTACGATTATGATAGGTTATTGCTGATCATATTCACCATATAATACAGCCATGATACAGGCCTGGTGCCTTGGGGGGGGGGGGGGCGTTGCATAGGAACCAAACCAATTTATACCAACACAAGTACCTATAGTGAGTAAGTTACTCTATACTTTTGTCTATGTGTTATGTGTATATTGAATAAAATGTAAACAAAGACCAGTATTTTACTGCTCCTTTATCCAATAGTTACACATTGTTTTCGATTTATGTCATGGACGATTTGAAACATCTTCCGACTAATAGAAATAGATAATAAATCAATATTACTTTTGTTACTTTCAATAACCATAATATAGTTATAATATATCGTATATAACCACTACTATGGCCTATGGGCTATGACTATAGTCTATAAGTTTATATGACGCATTATTATTTCCGTTTTTATTTGTATTAATTAATATTGAGATTTGAGGCATATTATAATAATTAATTTCGACAAGCTATTAAATAATATATATTGTAGGTATTTTAAATTTTTTAAATCTTGTAAATAGAACATTTTTTTTTCTGCATGGCTCATGGTCATGACGGATTTGTTTTAATCGAATTATTATTTTTATAAGTAATTTTTGACGTGATGATTGGGTTCCATGTAATTATTCTGTATTTTAATTGTATTGTTACCTACTTTTTTTCAAATAATGTAAATGTATGCGTAATAAATTGCATTTATATAAAACGCATAATACAATTAAAACAGAGTCGCAAATAAAAATAGGGTAAGTAGATGTCGCTCTGCTGTACAGTAGGTTACAAGTGGGTCACTGTATAATGGATTGTATTAAATTTGAATTCAATGGTATCATATCATTGTACCTAAACGAAAAAATGATTCTGAGCGGAGACGGTTCGTCGGTCTGGATATTTTATATTGCTATTAATTATTATATTTTATTATAGCCTGTATGTTGATTTAATATTATAAATTACAACAAAATAACTAATATCGTTATTTTTATTTTTATTTGTTTCTATGGTGATAAACAAAGCTTTAGAAATTAAAATCCCATTTTTAGAGGTTTTTTGTAATTGGTCGGTAGTTTTTCATGTCGTGGTATTAAATAACAGTTATTTAATGCCACATAGTTACTATTTTATAAGAAAATCGAAAAATTACCTTTTTAAAAGTACCATCTTCATCTAATTATATAAAATACAAGATACTATATATTGAAATCGAAGCACTCCTTCTGGTAGAAATTTTGTATACAGGATAAAAAAAAAAAAATACCATTTCAAAACCACTAGATCCCTCGCTCCGTCTCTCCGCTCAGAATCTAAAAAACTATATTGGTATTGAGTATAATTTCCAGTTTGTACAAATTACTAATTAGGTGTTTATACCATAAAGTAAATAATACACAAGCACAAGCAAATATTTAGGTACTTACATATTTTTTTTTAATTTACTCAACGAAAGCCTTAAATAATTAACAAAAACATAAACAAAATAAAATAAAAGCAATGGTATAATAATATATGGAACGGCAGTTAGGTAGTAATAATGAAATACATGTAAACATGGTTTTCAGGATGAATTGTATTTAAAATGTAAAAAAATAAGTCTGTTCTATTAATTTTAATTTCCAAATGTACGTTTAATATTTTTAAATATGTACCTATGGATTCTGTTGAAATATACCTAACTATTTACCGTGTTGTAAACGTGACGTTAATGGTAGATATAGGCACCTAATTACTTAAAAACGTTAATCTTGCAAAACAATAATAATGATATGTGATGTGCTTACCGTCGTAAAGTTCAAGTCGCCCACTGACATTTTATTATAAATATATAGGTACTGGCTCGGCGATGGAGTAGGTATATTGCGTGCCGTTTAGGTATATAATGATGATCGATCTCGATATGATATGCACCGCCTTAAATGTTCATAATATAGGCCTCAGCCGATGTAGTGTAATATTATAATATTATGTTATGACCTGCAGACGAAAATAAATAATAACTAATTTATATGTTCACAACAATATGCACGACCCGCGAGCACGATTTTCGACTGAAGACTGTTGCGCCCCGAACTCGAAATGTTTACCAACGACCAACGAACTGATCTATATTATATTGTGGGCATAGGAAGGTCGAAGGTAGGGACCCCGAACGCACCGCAACGACTCGATCTTCGCCGCGCACCGTACTTGGTTTATTTACCCATACGAATCTCTGTTGTTGTACGCTCAATAGATTTTATGAATGCAGTACAGCTCCAGTAACGTCTACTAATTTCACTATATAATAATATGTCGGTGGGGATTTAGCGAGAAAGAAAAATATTTTATTAGGTATATGACGTATTGTGTATTATTATTATGTATTACGCGATCCACCCCGCCTAATTTTTGGCGCGAAATTTTAAAAACTGCAGCTCATCGATTGTGTTGTGTATATACCTATTGGTGGCTTTATGCCTATAATTATACCTATATGTATATAATATACCAGCGGAAAACGCGATTTCCCGAGAGTTACGCTTTGACGTCGTTATATACGGTCGGCGTGTCCAATCGTCGCCGCCTATAGGCTATAATATGGCGTATTATTTTGTGGGTACATATAATATTATTATTATCAATGATATTATATACAGGGTGCCTAGCCAGACGTTGTTGTGGTTCATCCTTGTCGATACCTTTTCAATTACCTATAGTACCTACCTATACTGATTAAAATGTATTATATTGTTTTCGTAATCGACTTTAATTTAATTTTTATTTTTTTATGCTGTGTACAAAATCTCTACCAGAAATAGTGCTTCCATTTCAATATATAGTATCTTATATTTTATAAAATTGGATGAAGATGGTACTTTAAACAGGTCATTTTTCGATTTTCTCGATATTACAAAAAACCGCTAAAAATGGGATTTTAATTTCTAACGCTTTGTTTATCACCATAGAAACAAATAAAAATAATGATTTTAGTTATTTTGTTGTAATTTATAACATACAGGCTATAATAACAATATAAAATATCCAGACCGACGAACCGTCTAGGCTCAGAATCATTTATCGTATACAATGATATGATATCATTGAATTCAAATTTAGTACAATCCATTATACAGTGACCCAATTGTACAGCAGAGCGACATCCACTTACCTGATTTTTTTTATTGATTCTTTTTTACTTACATTATGAAAAGGTTTCGATTTCGGTTTATGAAATGTTTTTGGTTTTGGTTTCAGTTTTTGGTTTGTTATTTTTTTTTACAAGACGTAGGTAATTACAATGTTGAACAGTTTTTACTCTGCAGTAGTTGCAGCAGTGCAGCCTATGTAGGAGCTTCCATTTTTCAATGACATTTTCACAATATATATAGGTACACCTGATTTTTTGATGATATTATAGTGTCAAGCACGGACTAAGATATACAGGACTGGACACGACAAGGTTGGAGGGTGTGGGGGGGTTGACTACGAAATGTTTTACAACAGGTAGTGTTCGGGGGGATATTTTCCTTTTAGCATTACTAGCGCCGTCCTAGTGGATACTTATGGAACTAGAACACATCATACAAATTTCTAGTTCGATAAGTATCCACTAAGACGGCGCTAGTAATGCTAAAAGGAAAATATCCCCCCGAACTCCGCCTGTTGTAAAACATTTCGTAACCACAATATTCATCTCGTGTCCAGTCCTGTATATCTTAGTCCGTGGTGTCAAGTGACATAACCAAAACAATTTTGGTTTTGCACCAACTGACCAACTAGATAATAGATAGATATTGAGGTAAGTACCTACCGAAAATAACCGATGGAGGTACCTACCTTTTACCTAAATATAAAATTTTTTTTTAATTTGAACTATCGAATTCCGTTAAACATTTAACTATAAATGAATTATTAGTGGTATATTAGTGGGCGGCAGGTGGATATAAATGAACATAAGAATGCACCCTGTATATTGTATAATATAATAAATAGTTGTTGCGTAAAGCGGAAATTCTTTTCGCCGTCGAGGACGCTGAGGTACGCTGGCCGTGACGCGTTGGTTAAAATAATATTTTATAGGTATATTGTTTTCATATAGCTGCATTTAGCTGCAAGTACCTATAACGGTTTTAAACAATAAAGTACATATTCTCATTTTTATTACAAATTTACATGGACATTTTTTATAGAGATAAATCGGAAGAAATAATAGTGGTGCAGATATTATTGAAGAAACGTGCGTACCGCGTTTGCCATTGGCGATTTATGAGTTGGACCATTGATTATAAATACTATATTTAATATTATATATTTATTATCAATGGTTAAACACACTATATTATATACAGCTGCATTGACGTCAAATGACGCGTATTTAGAATTTTCTTGACGTGTGAGGTATAAATATTAACAAAAATTGTCGAAATTTGAACTGTATAGGTACATAGGTTGTATAAAATTGTAAATTATTGTTTAAACTACGAAATTCGAGATGGGAGTATAATTTAGATTGACTTTACCTGAACAATATTCAATAATAATTACGATGCCAATTTAAACGTGTTTTTATTTTTATGGACCAGCTATTGTTTTTTATATTTACAGGTTTTAAAACAAACTATTTATATGCGAGTGCCTCCCACATCGCATAGATATCTACCTATATAATATTATAGTTTTAATTATCACAGCTATTCCAGCATAGACCGCAAAAACGAAAAAGAGATGCCTCCCTCATCATACATGATCGTGGAATCGTGGACGCTCTGCACATTGAAATTTTTGAAGAAGCTCTGAGGAGGGTGCTTTAGCCAGTTGACACAATGAGCTTTACCCCCCCCCCTCCAACCACACACAAATATATACTCTTAAATCTTAATAATAATATGTATACGATGTATTAAACCTATTGGATTCCTATACTGTAGCAGAGGTCATCAAAATGGAGGCTCGAGGACTATTTATTTCCTGACAAAGAACAAGAAAAAAAAAAGTAAAAACCTTTAATATTACACCTTCTATTATAGTGTTGTGGTTTACCATTTTTGTTCATTGATTTTTAAAGACTTCTGAAATTTTGATGGCCCGCGAACAATTTCCAGATTCCTAATGCGTGGCCCTTCAACAGTTTTAATAATAATTATCACCAATTATTAGTGACCCCTGTCTTCTGCTATACATATACAGTAAACAGATTACTGACTTACTATATAAACGTACATACTATACATACGAACACTGACCAGTTGCTGCTGTTCCTTATTCAGATCCACTGGCTGCACATCCGAAGTTATCACCATGGTTGTCTGATGCTCTATAGCCGGCCGAGTGGTCGCAATATAGGTAGGTAATTTGAATAGTTTGAAAAAATGAGTGTTACCTATTTAAATTTATGTTTTCATTTGACAGCCGTACGAAGCAAATACAATGAACATGAGATAATAATAAACAATAGACAGCAATTACTATAATTCAATTAATAGGTAATTCAGGTAATTGGTCCGTTTTCATATTATATGATACACCTAAGCCAGTGTTTATCAATCAGATTTTTTTTTGAAACATGGTCTTTTGAAATACACTACTATAGTAAGCGGGTCGTATAAGGTTAAAGACCACTTCAGGTGTAGCGCACACCCCATCAGACGATCGGTAAATAGCTTATGGTAGGTCGCCGATCGCAATTATGAGACTCACACCCGTACTTATACCTACATCACGTTATACCCGAAACTTTTTTTTCACTATTTTTAACCTCGCAGTCAGTGTTTAATCGATATCGTCAACATATTATACTATGTAAATGTTTTAATAACGTATTTATTATATAGGTACCTTAGGTAGGTACCTACCTACCAATATAATATAGACATACAGTAGGTACCTATTTATAGGTACTCAAATATTCAATGATAGGTAGGTGGGTAGTAGGTACATGCCTTCTACTACTATAATAGGAACCCATGTCTATAATATGATTGTACAGAAACACACCAAGTGTAGGTACAAGTACAACTGTCGTAATATTATATGGATATAAATAATACCTATAGATATTATAATTTATAACATAATAGTAGGTCACGGCAGCCGGTTAGTTTGATTTGTGAACAATAGTCAACAATGGATGATAGATAGCCGACAAGTATTTAAATACCTATAATTTATAAATAGATATGTAGTAGGCAGTAGGTACCTAGATACATAGGTATTATGGTTAATGCATTTTATATTATTCGTCATAGTCTAAATCAAAATTGTGAATAAGAATGTTCTAGCCATTTCTAGGTAGGTAGGTATAAATCATAAGCGGTGATTGGAGGGGGCTTAGCCGTCCCCCCCCAAAAAAAAAAAAATTACTTAACATTTTTCAAAGTATAATATGTTAAAATAGTTACAAAGTAAAGGTAAAGTGGGTAATATTTTACAACAATATTGACAAAATCTTGGAACTTTACAGTTAACAAAATATTTCTAAAAGTGTGTTTCCCAACTTATACAAACTACTGCAAGTAACCTGAGTAACCATAACAAAACTAATTAGCTCTGCTACATGTTAGCGAAACTTTTCTGCAATGCGCAAAGTGCAAGAAAAATGTAATAACTCTTCAATATTATACATTGAAAAAGATATCAATATCAGTATTGAGATCATTATTGACATATATGATAATCAAAATAGGTTTATTGCACTAAAATAATAAAATATTTACTGTATTGTATATTAATACAGTATTCACACCCCCAGCCCCAACTCTCCTTTAAGAGTTAAAGAGTTATTAAGGCTGTTTGTACTAATGATAATAATTAATAATCCAAGATAATAGGTTTAAAATATAATACCTACTGAGAATTAAGTTTCTAGGTAGGTAATCAATATTAATCCATAAACATTTTATAATATAATGGTAAAAATTGTTTGAGTGACTGAGTATAATGAGTACCTACCTTTTTAATATATTATGTGAAAAAAAAGATTACATACCTACTTATAATTATGTTTATTATTATGTAAACTAGATAACTTGTCATTTTCATTTTAAATTCCAATAGGTATTATTTTTACAGGCAATGAAAATATGTATAAAACTCTTTACAGCAATATTCATGAAGACAAAATGTAATAATAAATGTTAAAATACAATTTATGATTTATCCAAAGTAAAAAAAAAAAAAAATGTTGAACTCTATAAATGCACAATGCACATGTTCCAACTTTTTATGAACACAAATATTAGGTAGAACTAGCCAAGGAACAAGTCATGAAAAAAATAAAAACTGATAGTAATAATAATATTGAATTTTTTATTGTTTTTAACATTTACAGTTACATAGTATTATAATAATTAAAAACACAACATTTCCTCATAAGCTATGGCTGTGATAATAATCGATGACCGCAAACAATGTACACTATGATTATAATATATTATAATAATATAATTTATAATTATTAATTTCATATTTATTATAATAATATTATAATCTTTTGGATAATTGGATTATTTGCGATAAAATTGTCATACATATAATAATTTTTAATTAAAAATGTTGATAATTCAAACTTTAAACTATACAGTATACAGGTAATCTCAAAATGCATCATTTTGTCAATACATTAATATTATTAATTACTTATACAGTTTAACTAACATGCAAGTATTATTATTATTTCAGTCAATTTAGTCTAAAAAATTCAAAATAGAAGTTTTAATTTTACGATTATTTGCAAGTAGTTAAGTCACCATGTTTACAAATAAACAAATTAGTAATAACAAATACCAAAAATAAAAACAATTCCATAAAAAATACAAAAATATCAATTGGGTAGGTAATTATTAATGATACTTGATCTTAAATCTATTTCCAATAATAAAATAGAATGATTTATGATCAGTACTTGATATTTAATTATCAAAATACAGATTTTCGGTAATTAAAAGCAAGGCTTTGGTAAATATTTTAAAAAGAATTAGTACTCGGAAGTTTATGCTTTAATTAAATAGAATTCAACAAATTTGTATTAAGTTAATACAATATTACATGTTATGTGTAGCTGGAAAGAGATATTAATACTGACTGCAACAGTTTAATACAAATTTAATTAAACCAAAATAGGTGAAATTATTAAAGATTAAATTTTTGTGAAACGAAGAAAATATATTATTTAATATTTATAATATATGCACACAAGGTAAATTGGTAAAATGTAAAATGACAAAAGCTGTACAACTTATTTTAATGACATAGTTTTAGTATTTTGGCTCTTTATGCGTACAATACAATTAATAGAAGTAAAATATAAATATGTAACAGTTAAAATTGATAGTGTTCAAAATAAATAAAATATCAGAATATAATGATCTAATCACTAAATTAATTTGTGGTATGGTTGATTTATTGGAAAATATTGATTGCAGACTGGTCAACAACATTGTAAATAGCCATAACATAAACTGAAAAATAAAAATAACATATTATAATAACAAAAGCTGAATCAACGTACATATTCAAAAACTATAAACTTATTAACCTTAGAAAAGCTTCAAAACTGAGATCTAAAACATTTTATAGTTTCGGTGCTAGGTGGTTTAAAAAAAAATTGTATAACATTGTGCTGTTATTAATAATTTAAACTTAAAAGTTTAGTTTTGTAAATTGTACTGCATGTTTGTGTTTATAAAAATTATTATATTTTTCATAAGTTTCAGTCTTCAGATATCATATTAGAAGATAAACATGATGATATTTCATATATTAATATAGAAATAATATTTTAACCTAGTCAAATCTTAAAAAAATCATTGATACAATGATACTTACAAAATATTTAAATCATAATTATTTTAATGGTGATCTAGATCTTGATCTATCTCTTTTGGCTTGGGCAGCTAAGTCATCCCATTCAGATAAATCATATTTCGAAAGATCTCCATCTTCATCATCATCATCATCATCTTCTTCATCGTCATCATTTTCAAAAACAGGTTTTGACCACGTTTTATATTTTCTTCCTCCATCATTGTTATCTTCTTCTCTACCATTTTGACTATTGGAATCCTCGCTTATAGAACCACTACCTCGTTTTTGTTTTTTTTTCTTACGTCCAAATTCATCATACTCATCATCAGACTCTTCCCGCCTGACATACTCAACAACTCCTCTGTCATTGTAGCCACCTCCATAACCAGTTCGTTCCTCTGGATCGGCAAATTTAGGAGCATTACACATATTACATTGAGATCGACGTGCCCAATTCACATTGCCACACTTGCTACATTGCCAGTCATCAGCCGAGAACAGCCCTTTACTCTTTTCGGCAGCTGCCTTACCGATTTCAGCACCAGCTTTTTTCTTGACCGGTAAGTCTTCACGTTCCTTATTACATCGGTTACAATGCGTGCGACGAGCAAAGTTTATATTTGCGCACTGAGCATTTGGACAGATCCAGTCACCATCGCTCATGCGAAATGCTTTACCTGCAGCATCCGCTGTGGCGTCCAATGGCAAAACATCCTCCACCTTTGAGGACATATCGCTAGACATTTCAAAAAAATCTGTCTTTACAAAATGTCACAAATCAACGGTTACCAATCAATATTAGCTGCTGCTGATGCACATCATAGTAATTGTGTAAGCATGAAAGTCGGCGAAATTATTTCTTGAGCATATTATTGTTGTCATCGAAAGAAGCTAAATCTTGAGTTCGAACTTACCCACTTGCGTAAATATGTATTCATGAATTACATAAAACTGATATTTTAAATACGCATACAGACGGTACATGAACGAGCGATACAACTGGTTGCTGTCAATGAAGTGGTAGCGTACGAGTTCAATAATAATTGTAATTAAATTTTAATTTTACGTACATTAATAATACACACAAAAGACGATTTTAAATCGATGAAATTACTACGATTTTGGTTGATAATCTCGAACAGTAACATTACATAAGATTATTAGACTCGTTTTATTTGTCTCAAGACCCAAAATATAATAATTTTATTGTAATTACTAATTAATGATAATAATTTAATAATTAGGAAAAAAAATTTGTAACAGAAGTTGGTCGCAGACAGTACTCCGGTAGTGCACCAGCCACCAATTACCGAAGTTCTGACGTTCCGGTTACATAGACGGGTGGGAGGAGTCGTGTATGTATTGCGATAACGGCCGACGCCTGACAGTGCAACCACAAGACGAGGAATTTGATAACAAAATACTTAACTAAATATTGTTTCGTTTGAAATTCTTTTACAAAACTACCCTTACACCAAAGTGTATAGATTATAATCTATAAACCGGATCAGCGAGTTCTCCGAATTTCGGTTTTCGATTTCATCGTTGAAAACAAAATGGCAGCAGTTTGTTGGCAATTAGCATAGAAAAATGTTGCTGTTCAGAGTTTAATCGCTTCGACCCTATTTTTAAAATTGAATAATGAATTTATTCAAATTCCAGTGTTGTAGAATTTTCAAGTATACTTAAGTACCATATTTTCTAGATTTTTTTATACCACTATATAGGAGTGTCCTGTAGTGATATAAACTACTTTTTTTCAACCGATCTTTCTAAATCGAAGTTTTAATGAGTATAGTTTCCTAGATTTTAATACCTGTACTGAGGGTAATAATTTTACAAAAATAAACAAATGTAATATAAATTGTATCTAATGTTTATTACAAAATATAAAATGTTGTTAGATTAATATTAAATATTATATTAATGAAAATCATGGTAAACGGACAATATTGGTCCCCGGGACAATAGGAATAGGTCCCGGTATTAAAATGCCATGTGCGGGTCCCCGTCATAATTTTATACACACTACACAGACAATAATATTTAAGGGTCCTCAATGACCTAAATCAATTTTATCCTTCAGACACTGAACTTTTTTTTTTCCAGCATTACAATTCATTAATTTAAGTTACGTATTACCAATAATAGAATTTATAAACCAAAAATATTACAGAATTTGAACAACAACGTATTTGACCACCAATATTTCCACCATATCTACTAATATTTTTGTAAACAACTGTATGAAATCTATAAGCGATGAGAAAAAAAAAACATTGTATCTCTTTGCATTAGTTTTAATATTAACTTTTTAGGGGATGAAATTTTAAATTATTTGTATACTCCAAGTATTACTATTAAAAGTTGAAGAACATTTTAATAATTATTATTTGAATTACCATATTAAGGGCCGTTCTTACAATGTCCGGTAAAGTGTCGGTTAACGCCACGGACTAAGATATACAGGACTGGACACGAGATGAATATTGTGGTTACGAAATGTATTACAACAGGCGGAGTTCGGGGGTATATTTTCCTTTTAGCATTACTAGCGCTGTCTTAGTGGATATTTATGGAACTAGAAATTTGTATGATGTGTTCTAGTTCTATAAGTATCCACTAAGACGGCGCTAGTAATGCTAAAAGGAAAGTATCCCCCCGAACACCGCCTGTTGTACTACATTTCGTAGTCAACCCCCACACCCTCCAACCTTGTCGTGTCCAGTCCTGTATATCTTAGTCCGTGGTTAACGCTAACCGACTGATAACAGATTTTATTAACGGCAGAATTCTTCCGGTTAAGTGTCGGTTAGGACGTTAGGTTAGGTTAGGTTAACGTTAAACAATAACGTTAAAGTTTTATGTTAACAAAAATATTTGGTATTTAACTTTTAATCCGGGGACCAATATGTCTGGGTCAATATTGTCCGGGTATAAAATTATTACGGGGGCCAATTAATTGTCCACATACGTCATTTTTTCGAGTGGGCTAATTGTCCCCCACCAATTGTCCTAGATCCGTGATCGAAACCCCTAATCTTCCAAAACTAATAGGTGTAATAGTCCTTACTTTTTAATACACAAAATTGAATAATTCAAAAATAACTTGTTCGAATTTTTATTTAGACACATCAAATATTAAAAAAAACTCAGAGATTTGATATATTTTATCAATTTGCAAAGGAAAGGGTGATTTTCTGGGATGGTGATTTGGAAATATTATGGTCTTTAAGTATATCTAAAAATTATATAAATCCGAATAATTCTGAGAAATGACAATAATTAGAGAATTCAAATTATTTGAAAATTGAATATTGTTAAAGGTAAAATTGGGGGTGAGGGAGCATGGTTGGTGAATCATCCTGTGCAGTAAGTTTGTGTCATAATAATTCAAAACCGTTTAACCGTGGACCGTGGTGGCGTGGTTGCTAGCCTGCCGCAGTGTCGCTGTTATCAGACTACTTCCTACTAGAACAGGGGTTACTGGTTAGCGGAAACGTGCAAAATATTATGTACAGATGTGCAATAATGCAAGTGGTGCACTCGGTGGCCATCGACGACAACAGCAATAACAACAACAATAACTACTAACAGACAATTCAGACAAGTAGACAACAACAATTCTGCCGCGATCGCGAACCGATCTTGACGCCAAAAGGCAAAAACTGCGACGCAAATGGCGGGGTTGTCAATTCTCCGCCTCGGGACAAATGGATCGTGGATGGGATAAATCAAATCACGTGCGCGACCTGTTAATTTTTTTTTTCGAAATCCCCGTACGATGAGCATTTACAAAAAGGTCGACTTTTACGAGCTGTGCCGGCTCTGCATGTGCGTAGGCGGCAAGAAACACCATCTATTCAAGAGCCAGGAGAGCAGCGATCGGCAGCTACAGTTCAAACTGAAAAAATGTATACCCCTGCAGGTGAGTGAACACCGGACATGAACAATTTGTTTTGTTCACCTCCGATTAAATACCTATAAAAACCCACCCCCGACAAGTACACTCCAACGGTGGTCGGAAAGAAAAGCCTTGAAAAAAAAAATGCACTGAAAAAATTGCCACGGGAAAAATAAGCAACCCAAAAAAAGTCAAATTAAATAAATAAATATAAAATTATGAGGTGTTCCAATTTTTTGATTTTTGATTTTCAATATTTGTCCATTGAATATGGTTCTTGGACATTTAAGCATGGTTGCTTTACTAAAACTCCACATAATACAACCTTTACCTGTATGTTTTAGAACGTACATAATATAACCCTCAAAACATAATTTAATAATTATTTTTATTAGAATTGATTATTTCCATTGTTAAAATAATTAGTATATACACTGAAAGACAAACCCTAACTCTGGAGATAGACGTGTGAGACTGAAAGTAGTATATAAAAAAGTTTTATCTTAACCCAAGAAAGGTTACATCTTTTGAATTTCCTTCAATAAAAAGCCAACATGTCATAAATTGTGCAAAAATAACATGATATTTTGTAGATAAACTACATATTTATTATCTTGAAATTAACTAATTTAGGTCTTACACCATTAATATATAATGTATATACTTTGTACGGAGTGATTCCTTTTTAAATGTACATGTTGCAGTATGAACTACTTATATTAAGTTATACTATTCTTAGGTATACCGTTTACTTCAACATTATTTAAAATTTTTTTTTTTGTTCCCTGACGCTTTTGAAAATTACTAACTGACCATTAATTTTCCCACCAGAAAAGTTACTGAAGTTAAAAATAAGTTGAAATAAGACTATATACAATACTATTGCTATTATTCATAATATAATTGACAAGACTTAATATAACTAATTTAAAAAAATATATAAATTGGCCTTTTTTTCCTACATTCGACTCTAACATAGCAATGTTAGAGTCAAATGTAGGAAAAACCAATCACCCGTACATTTTTGTATTATATTTTAATATTATACACTTGACTGTTATTAATATCAGAGGTATGTAGTTGTTTGCAAAATAAAATATAATATTTTAAATGATTTGAAAATATCATATGCTGACAGGTACCTAGTCATAATTTTTAAATAACAAGTTTTTAGTTGGTTTTTATTTAACAAGGTTTTAGTTTCATAGTATAATAGTTAGTTTGGTACCTAATAATTTATTGAGATCGCCTATAGAATAATACCTATGTTGTTTTTTTTACTGATTTTTAGATCAAAGAAAGTGATACTTTACCAAAAGGAGTATGCGAAAACTGTATAGCAAAAATGGAAGAATTTTACGATTTTATAGACCAATGTGTAAATACTGAATCCATGTTAAAAAGTTACTGTGCAACTTTAAGTGTTTCTGATCAAGCAAAATGCCAAGGAAAAGTAAGTTATTTTTATAAATGTTATGATATTTGTTTTTAAAATGTGATTAGTGATTAACTAAAGTTACAGGCTTTAAATAATTCCTATACAGTATACAGTTCTGTAGTAGGCCTATTTTACTATTCATTACTTTTTGCATCTATCTTGAATCATAATAGATAATATTATATAATAATATAATGAAAAAAATTGTAATTTAATTTGTTTTTATTTAACAGTTAACTATACCTGTAATTTAATTTGTTTTGATTTAACAGATAACTATACCTATAATTTAACCAAAATATAAATAATTCAAATTCCTACTCACCATTGTTTTGATTTAAAATTGATTTTTTTTCAGGTTTATGTACGAGAATCTTTAGAAGATAATTCTGCAAGTACAAAGAAAAATGATAGCTCTGATAATTCATCATCTATGCTTACAATGCAAAGTCTGTCCAATCTTGTTCAATCTGGTTCAATACAAATAGTAAATGATGTAAACAGTAGTTATCAAGATTTTTGTAAATATGATAATAATATGCAGGTTAGTTGATAATGCTTTTTATTAAAAAAAATAATGATTTATATCTTATTCATCAATTTTTTATTTTACAATAGCAAGTTATAACTAGTACAACTAATGGAGTTGAATCCATGAAATACAACTATACAGTAGCCAGTAATTCAAATCAGTCGGTTCAAACAGATTCATCTAATGAAGAAAATGATGCTAGTGAAAATGTTCAAACCATTTACTCTATGCCTGTAAGCATTATAGATTGAGCTGTCAACTCAAAACTGTTATATAGTAGAAAAAAAATAATTAATATAAATTAAGACGATTTTTTGTAAGAAGCACAGGTTAGGTTAGCCTAAGAATCCCAGATGTATGAGATTGGAATGTAAAACTTAATTGATTTTGACAATTTGATGAACTATTTGTTATTAATTATTTTAAAAAAAGTAGGAGCATAAGAGACAATGGGTATATGTTTAGCGGTGGTAATAATTTTGAAAAATGTCCCGGGTTGTCGTATCTGGTGTGTAACATATTATCTTAGCTGATGAACAAAGTCACGGTCACATTGTAACGAGGTTCTTAAAGAATACACAATTACAGTCTACAGATATCCGCATATGCACTATGCTTAAGTGTTTTTGGTCATTTATATTGTTTATTGTATAGCACCGAAAAAAGTAGTTCTCAACCTTTATGGAATTTACTAAGGTTAATAAAGCATTAAATAACATTGTAACATTTATTTTCTGATCTATTTGCGTAGTGGTGGACCCAGATACTGGGTTTCAATGATAAGCTGACCCACAGTTTTTTCTCAGTGAAATATGGCCCCTCAAACTAACTAACTGCATAAAATATTTTTTATTAAAAAAAAATATGTACAATAATCAATAATAAAATAATATTGAATATTAAACATTTATAAAATGTACACAGGCTCAGAATGTTTCTAACAAATATAATTTATAATTTATAAGTATATTATGATGGATAGAAGCAGTGGCGGCGTGACAAGGGTTTTATGAGACCCGGGTCCCATGGCGATTTAGGTGGGTGGGTGGTAGTGGGTACTGGGTAGATGTCGTGGTGCCGTGGTGGTCATGTTTATTACTTTTCTATGGTGTGTAGTGTGTACCTATTATTATAAATGTACTCGACACTCAAAAATTTTGGGGGTGGGTGGTCCCTAAAAACGTTTTTGTCTCATGAATGAAAAATGTTGACGCCGCCACTGTATAGAAGTATATACGGACCTGATGACTTGCATAAACTTATCAACTTAAATAATGCACCTATATCAAAAAACATGCTTAAATATGCCACGTACCGTAGGCGCAGATGTGAGACGAGCCTTTAATCTTTACAAAACATATACCAATATTGTTGTTTATATAAATAAAGTATATTTATCATGTAGGTAAAAATCTCTAACTATTTATAGATTTTTTTTTTATCTCATTAATACAATATTACGATTATTTTATATTATTATCCAATATCCATAGTAAATACTAAATATCATGAACCATGGTCGTTATGGATGTATTATGTATAATATTTTATAATAATATGTAAGTATTCATTTTTATTTTGTATTTTACCTTACTAATAAGGTAAATCTTATATGTACTTGTAGTACAAAGTTAGTTGAAGTTTCTACACAGTGGTTTTACGTAAGTGAGGCAGACTCACAATGCTAAAATTCTTGATATGCCACTGTATTTGCGAATAATTGTATCTGTGTATTATATATTAATCTGATACTAATGTAATGTGTCAACAGGGTTTAATTATGTGGAAATGTTTTATAAAAAAATATTACTGATAAAAAAAAAAACAGTTAAAATTTGGATATACAAAATTTTTGTAAACATATTATATACTTTTGTAATATAATAATATGACACATTATTCTGTTCACCATAATATTAATAATAAAACCATTGATAGGTCGTGAGGTATGCCAATATTTGGTCAAAAGTACTAAAAATACCAATGGCCGAGTACTCTGTATATTACAGGTTTTTAATTTATAGCAAATTGAAATTAATAACTAATATATTAAAAATCATTATATTGAGATGTATTATTTTATAATAATATGTTTATACAATTTTACCAATCATAAATGTCATATATGATTTTAATAAGATGTTTTGTTATTTTTCCAGGATATTCCTAATTCAGATAAAGAAGATTCTGAAATGAACGTACATTCTTTAAGTTATGTGACTCCATTAACAGTTGAACCTGAGATGCTTCATTTTCAATTTAATAAATCTGAGTGAGTTATTATCAAGATAATATTTTTAATTAATTAAAAGATATTTTAAGTTATGTTTAGTTACTTCTAATAAATGTGTATTTTTTTTTTTTTTTTTTGAAGTAATGATCAAGATTCAGATTTGGATAATAGTAAGTCTAGTGATAAAACTTATATGAATGGGTTTTTACCAACGGATGGAGCTTTTGCATCATGCACTGCGTGTGGGAAAGTATTAGAATCTGAGGAAGAAATTGTTATGCATAGTCAGATGTGCAAAGCAATAAATAATAGAAGTGTTCCTAATTTGCCAACAAGAAGTACAAGAGATACAATGCCTCCAAGATTTCCTTGTGATGTCTGCGAGAAAAAATTTAAAAGAAAAGAGCATTTAATTCAACATAGGAAACTCCATACTGGTAAATTTTTACTAAATAATTAAATATTTTAACCAATTTCCATGATAGTTAACTCGTTGACTGCCATGTAACTGCCGGCAGTCATCCGTAATTCTCAAATGTATACTTTTGTGACCATTAAGTGATCACCTAGTAATGATCATTACTAGCACATGAAGCCGGCAACCGTTAATTAATATGGTTTTAAATAATTTCTATAGCACTATTATAATGTACTAAAAACAGCGCAGTGACGTAGCAGGAATAATTACAATTTATTTGATTTAATAAACATTTTTTTTTTTTTTTTTAATGGTTTTTTAAATAAAATAGTACCTATATCCAAATTAGGAATAACGTGGAAAAATATGTTTGGTGTGTGGATAGTACATATTGTGTAACTGCTGGTGCTAGTCAATGTGTTAATAAGTTTGTTGTAGAACCTGTAACATCAAGATATGGTAGTAAAAATATTATTTTATAGTTTATACCTTATTTTATAAATATTGTTCACATAGTTTTGATTGAACATACAAAATGTGAAAAGTAAATTAATTCATGATTGATTTACTCAGTATATTGTATCAGTTATCTTTATTCTTTAAAACCATGTAATCCGTTTGAATTAAATTAAATTCTTTATTAATTTAAAAAATATTTCTCCAGGGGAACGACCATACAGCTGCGAGACATGCTCTAAATCATTTAGTCGTAAAGAACATCTTATGCGTCACATGTTGAGTCACACAGGTCAACGATTGTATGGGTGTGATTTGTGTCAAAAACATTTTAGTCGTAAAGATAATCTTCATAAGCATCGAACCACACATGGAGTGACAGGACCTCTTGTCTGTGAAGTTTGTGGTTGGTTTTACATTTTAGAGTTTTTAGATTTGTCTGATGTAAAATTTTATAGTTCAAATGTTTATTGTATTAGGTAAATCATTTATTGTAAGACACTACTACGATATGCATATGGCAACACATAATGAGGTTGATGATAATCAGTTACCATATGTGTGTGACATATGCCAGAAACGGTTTGCTACAAATCAAACTTTAGTTACTCATCAATTCAAGCATCAGACCAAAGGTTATACTAATGATATTAAATCGGAGCCTGGATCTGTTATTGAAAAATTGAAAAATGAAGTAAATATACCTGTCTACTAAAATTGATTCATTGCTATAAAATTACTTAAGTTGTGTTGTATATTTGTAATTTCATATTAAACTTCACTAAATAAATAATTATTTAACTACCATAATAACTACCTCTATTAATGTAATTTAAAAAAAATGTATGTTTTAGTTACAGGTTGATCTACAAGGGAAGCAAAATCAACTATCTAATGTGCCAAATATAAATACATATCAAGTATCTTACGAGGATAATAATTCGTAAATAATTACAAAAAGGTAAAAAGCCCAAAATGTTCAGGTTTTCAGGGTGATAATTATGGGTTCCTAAAAACACTAGTTTTAGATTTTAGTCATATTATTGTACTTGTATGTTACATTTTAATTATTGTCACATGACCTCAAATTTTATAACTATTGAAAGAATGACTCAAATTTCAAGTTATTTTTGTGTAGAATAATTTTTTTTTTAATTTTTGGTGGTTTTGCCAATTATTATTTTTTTTTTTATAGAAAATCAAAACATTAGTAAATTATGTTTAAAATTAACTTTAGTGCCTTTACATTTAAATTATATTTTATGGTATAATATAATCAACTTAAGCGGAGGACAGATCCTCTAAAAACATATCACATTGTAGATGGTTGAATGTTCCATACGTATCCACATTTTGGAGTTTTTTAATGTAATTTTAAATTCCTATTATATTTTTTTTTATGTTAATAATAGTAAAATCATGTACAAAATATACCAAAAAACTATAGGAGAAATGTTATTTTGAAATCAATGAACTCTAAACAGACTGATATAATGCTAAGACAAACTTAGTGAATTGAATTGCTCATTAGAATTTAATATATGTTGTTTTAGATCTATGGTGGTCTTAATTTTTACAATTTTTGTCTAGAAAATTATATTTTTAATGTATAACTGAACAATTAAATATTTTTTGTAATATATACCTAGAAAATATTACTTATCCTTTTTAAAAATCATATAAATAATTTTAAATTGCTGTATAATTAATGTTTTGATAATCAGTTGGCCATACCAATAATTAGATTTAATAAAATGTAAATTTTAGTTTATATTATTTTTCCCTGAATTAGGTACTTACTTGTATTATTTAATTACTTTTGAACGCGTAATATAAAATATAATTGTCAATAATTTGTTTTATTTTTTCTATCTAATCATTTTATATAATCAGCTGGCAGCCATAATATAATAGTGGATGATAATAGAAAGTTAATAAAGTGTTTTATTATGATTAATGTGTGCAATCAAAGTCTATTATTTAAATTGCTTAACTGTCTTCCATGACGCCCCCAGCGGCCAGCTATATTCAAGATTTAAGATTATTATACTTTACCTGATACCGTTTCGCAACGGGTAAACTCCCGTGTAAACGAGTTGGTCGCGCCTGTCTAATTCAAGCACCCGCTGCCAACCATCACTCCTCGTACCGTAGCCCGTGGTTACCGCTCTTATATGCACACACCACCACCACACGACAACGCCACCAGGTAAATTATTATTGTTGTCATTATGTATGGTTAGTGGTTACATACTTACATCGTACCACCTGTAGTTCGACAAAAGCATTGAGCCGGAGTGGACGCGCGATTGCCGCCGTCCGCGGGTCTCTCGGGGACGTTTTGCATTTAGTATAAGACACTTCGTGGTCTCGTGTTGAGAAGTCGTCGATTATCGGACATTACCACGCATCGATAAATTTAATATTGTCGCGTATGTATAATGAGTCATAACACTTTATAACCTCGACTCGCCAGTAAATACTTGTATGCGGCTATACCTATAGACCACTTTCACAATGTATCTACCTTAAATCGATTTTGGTTTCGAAAATCCACCGGTGTCAAGACTGTCGTCTGTCTATTCAACCCTGATGCTGACCGTGGATGCTGGACTTTATAGCGACGTGTTTCTTTTAGTCTCGCGGTATAATTAACCACAAATACAAAAGCGGGAAGTGAGGTAAATTACAGCTACTGTATTAATGTATTATACTTACATGGCTACATAACACTAAAGATTTAAAGTATTTTGACACGATGTCAGAACAGTGTTTTTGAATTTCGAAGCGACGACTTATAGGCTAGATACATCGATAAATTTGTAGATTTTTTTCCGATCTGTTATCGTCTATAATTTTATGTAGTTAGGTACCTATATATGCGTATATACATAGGCGCAATTTGGGCAACTGATTTGGAGGGGCTAAATTTATAAAATCAATACAGACCGGCATAATTTTTTTATTAGGTGGATTTAAGAATGAATATATTTAAAAACTTAGAGGGTCTTAAATAAAACTAGAGGGGCTAAGCCCCCCTAGACCCCTCAAATTCCGCTTATGCGTATATAGGATTTATTTTCATTTTTTGTTTGGAGGAGGGTATTATAGAAATTGCTGATCAGGATTCCCTACACTCTACAGTATAATTAATAATAATAACTATATACACACTTACGTTTATTTTCAGTGTGGGGGGGGTGAACCACTAAAACCCCTCTATATACGCCACTGTATATATATATATATTATTATATACACTATACAGTGGCGAAATTAGGAATATTCCTTAGATGAAGCTTTAGACACTACCCAGTACCTCGTTCTTTGGGGTACCTATTTATTTGAATAATCTAATCTCGCAGGACTTTAGAAGGCTTTACCGCTGCACAATGCATATGTTATTTAGGTACTTAATAGGTACTAATAAATAAATACTAATGAAAATGTTTGTTACGACTTATGACTCAGGAGAAATGAGTTATGGGTAAATTGTAATAATGCTCACGAGCGCGTAAATTGTATAGTTTTCAATTCTTGTACGACACTGACGTAAATTACGGCCGGTTAAACTTTCCACTCGAAATTTTCACTTTTAAAATTCACACGATTATTTCGCCTATATTTTTATTCATTCCAAACAACAAGTAATTAACGTTCAAGTATGAAAAGTAATGGCTCACTAATATAATATTATGTATAGTGTGTATTAGTATATTGTACATATTATGTATTTCAGTATTTGTATCATAGACGGCATGTGTTCATAAATAACTATTTTAAGACTTTCTTACTTGAAATCATTTTTCCCCTACATACAATTTCTTTAAATTAAATTTGAGTTTATTTAAATTCGCAGGGCTGGTCAGAATTATCAGATACGTAAACACACCTTTGATATACGATATATATCCATATTCCATATCCCTGTGCTCACCTCTATTTTTCCATTGATAATGAGTTTATCCAAATTTTTAAGTACCTACCTATCTATAGTTAAGAAGTAAGAACCATATTTTGAAATATGTACTTAGATTATTATACCATATAACATTTTTTTTAAAACTAAAACACATCCATTACAACGACATGCTTGACAACTATATGCTGTCTAGTGTCTATACTGTACAGCAGACTGCAGAGTGGACTGGCTGAGCGGTACCCACTTGTCCACCTTTTTCATTTTAGAAACAATACAACTTCTTCACGGAGTTCCACAAGGCGAAGGAGTGTTAATACTTTTCCCCTTGAGAGCTAACTTAATTTAGTATGCAAAATAAGTGATTATTGTGAGAACTTCCCATCTCCTCGCACAACTTTTCAAACAAGCTTGATGTAATGTTTGGTCGTTTGAAGCCGTATGTATGTGACGGGCGGCGGTGATTATTAGAAAGATTATGTTTGGGCATCCGGCATACTATTATGAATCTGTATACTCAACAATATTGCTATAATATATGTACTTATAATTTATTTTGTTTATACAGTATAAAATAACAACAAATCTTAGAGTCTATACCTCTAATTAAAAAAAAAAATGTTGGCGACCAATCTAAAATTAACTTGCGACCCACCTGTGGACCTACAGTTTGGAGAAACACTGATATAGATTAAAGTAGTGGCCTATAGGCTGTAACGATAAAAACTTTTTTTTGATTAGAATTATTATACTACTATTAACTCATTTTTTTCTTATAAATTGTTAATATTAGGTAGATGAATTTTTTTAAATGTTGATGTAGGTATCTAAATTGAATTTCAAACGAGTATTTTTTGAGTTGTTTAACTTGTACAATAATATGTCAAATGTCAATTATATATAAGTTTGAAATATATCGGGGCTATGATGATTCGAGAACTATGTTGCATAATCAATATTAATTCATTCACAATTTATAATTTATTATAATAAGGACATTAATATAACCTATACTTAAATACTAGATGCAATTTTAAATCTGTTTTATATTTTTGTAAACCATTTTGATGGACTATTCATTAATATTGGACAATGGACATAGATAAATTACATTTTAATGACAAGGTAACTTGAGATACTACTCGTTAACATTTTTATTTTGATATATATACGGTATACTACCAACACAATACCTTTTTTTTTTTTGAAGGGGGGAACTTTGCCCTACCTGGGTCATCCTTCCCCCTACTTACACAATACCTTTTTTTTTTTTTTTTTTTTTTTTTTTTTATTAGATAAAATTGAATATTTACAATCTGTAATTTTTTTTATACAATAAGTAAATTTGGTAATGAAAGAATACAATAACATGAAAGGCATGAGGAGGGAGGCCCACCAGTGTGGATACCCTCTAACAAGTTAGTTATAAATAAATAACAATAACAATGGCAATTTAATTTAAAGTTATGTATATAATAATAATTGATATACTGTGTGTTTGTGTTATTGATGTACGGAATATGTGGTGTGTGTGTGTGTGTTATGGAGTAGGGGTTATAGGGAGTGTTATTTTGTTTATTAGGGATATTAATACAGTAAGAAGGGGGTTAAGTATAGATTTTAGTTCGTCGAGGAATTTGGTGATGATGTGTAGAGATTGATCGGGTGGTGGTCTGTTAGCTGCGATTTCAGCGTATGACGGTTTTCCTTTTGAGTTTGAACTGGAGGCTTCATTTCCACTTCTTCGAGATGGAGGTGGTATAGGCGGTATAGCAAGTGTTGGAATAGGTTGCTGTTCTTTATTTATTTTTTTAGCTTTAGGTTTGGTGCGGTTTAGTAATTTTTTAAGGGATTGGCATCCTTTGTAGTTTGCGGTGTGGTTTCCACCACAATTTGCACATTTTGCGGGTTCCTCCCGTTGTTTTGTGCATTCGTTAGTTGAGTGTTCTGATCCGCATTTTACGCAGCGTGGATAGTGATGGCAATAATTACGTGTGTGTCCGTATTTTTGGCAATTATGACATTGAG